ATGATGTGAATTATTTACAAAAATGTATAGCATGGCATATGCATTCATCCCTTGAGATTTGTATAAAATGTATATACTTTGTGAAGGATTTTCCTACTGGGCTTTATGTTCATCCTACGAGATTTTTGTGCAGGAAAAGACGTGGTGAATCCGTCTAACTAAGGGCGTGGAAATGTGTGTGTGTTGAGAGTACAAGGTTCTCATCTGCTGTGATTTTATTTGTAAGCCAAGGGCTTTGTATGTGCGGGTTTGAATAACCGTTTTGTGTAACCAAGCTCAAGCCTTGGAAACTTGTAAACCCTTAGGGGTATTTATTGTTTAATTAATTATTGTTGGATTAATTGTACTATCACATGAAGACTATTTACATCATGTAATGCAAGTATGAGGATTTATTATCAGTTTTACTTTAAAGGGCCATGCTGTATTATCATTTAGGCATGAAAATTGAGGTGTTACATTATTAGACCATTATTCATCTTGATAATTAAAATTATTAATTTGGTAAGGTCCATTGAGAATATAATGTAAAAAATTAAGTTGATTAAGATAAATATTTTTCTTAATCAACTTGATTTTTTATGTACATTTTCTTGATAAACATTACGAACTAAATAGTTCAAATTATTCAAATAGATTTCAAATGAGTCTCTATATCCAAGAGTTGTTTGGTAAATGTTGTACATGGACAAAGCATCAGACACCTTCATGCGCAAAAAAAACAATAAATAACCTTAACAATAATATAGAAATGTGAATATAGAATGTAAAAATAAGAGAACTACATGGTAGCAATTTAAGATAACGTTAATATAAGGGGTTCAAAATAAAATCAACTCATATTTCCTTTTAAGTATCTCCAATTTCATTTTTTAATCATGGATTAACTCCTATCTAAAAAAATCCCGGATTAACTAAGACATAATAATCAAATTAAAATCTAAATAGAATCAAAATTTGAGATAACATATGTAAGTTACACGTCAATTTTCTATCTATTTATGTAATAAATTATTAGTTGAAGATTTATATTGATACAAATTGATTGTTCTATGTAATTTGCTTACAGCTGAAAGGGTATTTTCATTATTAAAGTCCAAATTGAAAAAAAAAAAAATAGATAAGGGTTAGATGTTACAATTACTTGAGAGGGAATAAAATGATAAGAGACGATAATTAGGGAGGGGGGTTTAGTGTTATAATTTTAAGTTCAATGGGAAAAAAGCGATATGAAGTGTAATTTGCCTAAAGATCACTGGGCTACAAAGGTAGGAAGTAAACTTCTTATAAATTAACTTACAAAATTTTTAATGATAAGTTATTTTAGAGACTATGACAAAATATATTTTACTTATTTTTCATTTAACCAAATAATAAAAAATATGTAATTATTTAAAAAAACAAATCAACATTCTTTACGAGTTGATTTTGATCCCAACAAATAAATTATCTTTTATTTGATTTTCTCATTTGGCAACTCCATTTTTTAGTTAAAAAGTTAAAAAAAATATTAAAAAAATAAAAAATAAAAAACCAACAAACTATACAAAAAAAAGTTAAAAATTCTATTTTCTCCCTATTTTTTATGAGTTTTTTTTTTTCTTAAGAAGCCAAATAATATCCAAAATATAATATTTTTTTAACTCATATTTTAACTAAAAAATTAAAAAATTATTAAAATAACATATTTTGATACGTGACTACCTCTCTTTTTCTTTACAAGTTGATATCTCTTGCATTTCTTCCCTTTTTACGTACTTGTGTTCCTCATCACCATCATAATTTGATACTAATCTCTTGTTCTTCTATGTCATCCTCTTCCTAATAATTTGATATTAATTGATTTTCTTCAACCTTTTCAATTTTGTTTCAACCGAAAAAAAACTTAGAAGGTTGTGTTTGGTTTAACTTTCTAAAACTAATTCCATCATTAGATTCTAATGTTATGTTTGGTTTAAGTTTTCAAATCATGATTTTAAATCAATTTCAAAATACATTTTGAAAATTTGTTTGGTAATCTAGACACTTTTTGAACTTTTGGTCTACCCGGTTGTCCCGGACATCCTCTCAAATGTCTGGCCGGTTGACCAGAATGGTATTTTTTTGTGATAATTGCCAATCGCCACCTATTATTTGAAAAAAAAAATATATTTGTTTTTGATATTTTTTAAATATATAAATTATTTTTTAAACCAAAATGACAAATTATTTTTTAAAATTTAATTTTAAAAAGAGTTTGGTTATGAGTTTTGAATAGAATTTTCAATAGAGTTTTGAGTTGTGTGTTTGATTATGAGTTATAAGTTTTTGAATAAAGTTTTGAAAACTCTTTTCAAAACTTATAATCAAACAATTTTTCTCATTTCATATGTCACATCAAAAATTTCAAACTCAATTCAAAACTTTTTCAAAACTCACAACCAAACAATTTTTTTCTTTTCAAATTATAATTCAAAAACTCACAAATTCAAAATACAGCTCCACACTCAAATCATAATTCTAAAACTCTATTGAAAGTTATATTTTTTCCTTCTATAATTAGAGTTTTACAAAGCAAAGATTTTTTTGGAAAGTCTAGGTTTTTGTTGTTGTTGTTGTTGCTGTTGTGTGTGTAAAACCAAACCCCTCTCTTTAAACTAGGGATGGCAATTTGAACTCGGCCCGACGGGAACTCAATCCCCGGACCCCGACAAGAATGGGTTTTCCCCGAAAATTATCCCTATAAGGCTGGGGATGGTATTAAAAATTAAATCCCCGACGGTTTTCAGGCCGAAGACGGGGATAGGTTTCCCCCGCCCCGGATAAACCCTGACTAATTTCCCGAATATTCTCCGAATTTCCCGTATATATAGATATATATGTCTAGCGTTGAGTTAAGTCTGTTTCTCTCTCCCACTCACTCACACTCACTTCTCCTCTCCTCTCAGCCTCTACCCCTCTTCCTCTCTCTTTCTCTACTGCAAGTGTTCCTCACGGCGTCGACGGCGGCGGCTCATCCGCTGTCCTCTCCCTCTTTCGATCTCGCCGACCTCGCCGATCTCCCGCCTCAAGAACATCACGGCGACACCATCTGTCTGACCTCGCCGATCTCGCCTCGCCGATCTGTCTGACCTCGCCGATCACGGCGACACCATCTCTGTCGTCAACGTCACAGCGCTGCCTTTCCCTCCGCTGCCAACACCATCTGTCTGATTTATCTTTTTGAGTTGTATTTCTCAGATCTTACCATCTCTGTAATTTTTATTTTTTTGATTAGTTGTGTAAGATGGTTTTGTTGATTTGTTGTGCAAGTATAGATGATTTGTTTTTTATGTATGATGTTGTTGATTTGTTGTTTGATGGTGTTGTTGATCCGTTGTTTGATGGTGTTGTTGATCTGCTGTAATAGTTTTTTTTTTTTTGTAGACTGGGGAATTTTCGGGGTCGGGATCCTCGATCCCCGTTAGGGGACGGGGATCGGGACGGTGACAAGTTCTCCGTCAGGGATCGGGACCAGGGACGGGAAAAATTTCACCATTGGGGATCGGGGACGGGGAGGCGATCCCCGGTCCCACCCCAGCCCGTTGCCATTCCTACTTTAACCTATGATAGTTTTTAAGTAGCAAATGTTTTTGCCACAATAATTCTCTAGAAAATAAAATTCACTTAGAAGAACTTTTGACCTCCATATCCGTTCTTCTTCAAGTGCTTTAATGAAGCCAAAGAAATTTTGAATTGGTTCAACAAGAAGTACTTACAAGCTACAAAACACTACTTTAAATGGCCTCTGTTAAAAATTTTACTTATTATTTAGTTCAATGGTCCGTTCTTTACTCTTTTGGAGTATAAAATATTGGAAATGATGATATTACATGGCAATATCATTATTCAATGAGTAATTTTATTTTGTAGTAAAGACAATAACATTGCAGAATTAATGAGAGAAGAGACATGTCCAATCCCATTATTATTTTTTATTAGCAGATAATATCACGTAAGATGGTATCGCTATTACATTCAATATTTTTTTCTTCCATCAAGGTTATTTGACCCCATCAAGGTTATTTGACTAGGTAATTGTATAGTATATGTTTTGCTAAGTAATTAAAAACCAATTTTTTTATTTTTTTATTTAAAAAAAAGTATAAAAAATAAAGAGATAATGTGACCCAAAAGAAATTAAAAACTAAAAAACTACGTTTAATCTCTTTGCCAAACGAGGACGTAGAATAAAGGACTATAGAAATTAGTTGGGGCAAAGCCTCAAATGGGGTATAGTCAAAAAAATAAAACTTTAATATTATGTTTACATCATGAATTTAGATAAGAATTTAAAAAGGGAGAGAAAATGAAAAAAAAAAAAAACTTATATTAAATTTACATTTGTTTTTCCTTTTCATCATTTTTTTTTTCCCTTCTAAATCCTCATTCAAATTTATCATCCAAATATATCCTAAATAAAGTTTATTTATTTTTATTTTTTTAACGTGGGAAGAAAAGTTGAAAATAAGAAAATTATTGGGTGCAAATGGAGATAACACAAATATAAGATGTCCAAAATGAAATAAACTCTAGCATTTTCTTTTAAATGTTTTCAATTTCTTATTTTAATCCTGGATTAACCCATATAAGCAAATTAAAATCCGAAGAGAAAAACTTTTCGTCTACTCACTCCTGTGTGTTAATTCCTGAGATTCCAGAACAACCTATCAAAACCCACATTACAATCTTCACACTCACTGTCTCTCTCTCTGTCTCTCTCTAAAACCTGTACAACCCAAAGGACGCCCGTTGGAAGGCACTGTGGGTTTTGTTCTTTTTGTGGTTTTGAAGTTGTGATTTGGCTTATATTCTCTTGTGGGTCTTTTCTTCATCCCTCAAACTGCATTGTCAAGAGGGTTTTCTGTGATAAACTTTTGGTTAAACTTCAGGAGAGAAAGAGAGAGAATTTCTTGGTATTTGCTTATTTAAATGGTTTTTTTTTTTTTTTTTTAATGTGATTGTATTGTAATTAGTTTTTTTTTCTATCTAAAGCGTTGGAATTGGGAAGCTTGAGTTTTCATTGAATTGCATTTTGGGATTCAAGACTTGTGACGAGTGAGAAACCAGAAAGTAATCGTAGAGTGATGAAGAAGAAGAAGAAAGAAAAAAAGATTCAAAACAAGGAAGAAATTGCTGAGGATTGGTGCTTTGTATGCAAAGATGGTGGATTGCTTCTTGTTTGCGACTACAAGTGAGTTCTCAAAAACGACTTCCAAGCTTTTTTTTTTTATTGTGATTACATAAAAAAAACATGAAAGGAGTGATGAGAAAAAAATTTGGAATGATTGGAATTTTTCAATAAAAAAAGAAAAAGAAATTATAGACAATGATTAAAAGAGATATATGTGTATAGGTGAGAAATGAAATTTAAGTTTAAAGTGATTTGTCTTTGTCATTATTATTTTTTTTTGTTTGTCATTACACACCTTATTAATCGTTCAAATGAGAAATCTTATTCTCACCCTTATTTTTATTTTCTCACCAAATCATGGACAGTGATTTGGGTACTACGAGTGAAGAAGAGTTCTCCAACACCATGGACCAAATTGCCCCCCTTGATTACTGTTTCTTCCTTCGAATAAGGGGTATTTTTGTCTTTACATAATGCTCTGGGTGGTTTAGAAAATGGGATGCTAAAATTGGTGGATGAGTTATATACATGGGAGTTTTACTATTTTTGGTTGGTGATTGATGGTTTTGCTGGACTCCCTTTCCTTTCCCATATTGTTAGAATCCCATTTTCACTTTCTTTATCCTCATTTTCTTCCTTGGATGCCTAGAAACATTTTTGCAAGAACTCCAACCCTTTTACTCAAATTAAGTAAAAATGATTTGAAGCATTCCAATGAATAAACTCTAATTTGAGTAAAATGTGTCTAGTTTGAGTGGAAACAAAGGACATTAAGGGGAAGTTTTGGTAAAGTACCCAAAATGTCAGATTTGGATTGGATGGAAATTTAAGTAAAGGAAATGGGTTTTTCTTTATTTGGGTAAAAATTTGAGTAAAACTCAATGTGGTGCAAGTTTAAGTAATGGAGTGGAGGGAATTTTAGTGGCATTTTACTCAAATTTAAGTTCGAGTCTAAATTTGAGTGAAACTCAATTTCGTATAAGTTAAGTAACAGAGTGGATGGGATTTTACTGACTTTTTACGCAAATTTAAGTTTTGAGTCTAGATTTGGGTGAGGGTTACTTGTGCAGTTATTCCTTAACCTCTTTTGTTGATAGACAGCCGTCGCCTTTTCTTTTTTGTTACTAATGACTAAGAGGAGACTATTAATTATAAAGATTAACAGTATTCAGCTCATAAAATGAATGAACAACTATTGAAATTTATTAGGAAAATTATAGCTTAAACTAGCTCCTCGAACTTTGCTCTAATTTTCACTATCATTCTCGAAATTTTAATTATTATGTTTTTAATTCAAGCTCTCCAGATGTCATTATTAAGTCAATGTAGTCCAATCTATTAACACACAAAGGGGGAAGACTACTGTATTTATCAGTACTTTTTAATTGAGCTAATTTTCGGATTTAAGCAAAGAAAATGATAGTTCTGTAACTTTACATTGTTACTGCTTTATTAATGGCTTTCATTATAATGAAATCTTTTTTATTCTTGTCATGGAGTTAATTTTATCATGTCTATTGTCAAATGTTCTGATTTCAGGGAGTGTCTAAAAGCTTATCATGCAGAGTGTGTGGGGAAGGATGAGTCATTTGTTGAGTCTGGAAACAGCTGGACTTGCAGTAAGTCACTAATTTATAAATGATTTGGTTTTCTTTTCTTGTAAAACATTTCATTATTTATATATATATATATATTTTTTTTTTCCCCATGAAATCTTTACTTTTTAAGTAATAGCATAGCACCTATTGCCACATGTAGCATGCATGAAGTCTAAACACTCATCAGTTGACATACAATGGCAACATGTATTTCAATTCCAATTTTTGGATGATCTTAAGTTTCCTATCTTCCATATAATTTGGTCAGGAGTTTTTTTTATTGTTTTTTATTGAATGTTTATGAAAACCCTGTTTGCCCTTTATCTGTGATCAATTAAGTATGTTATAGAATTTTATCTTTATTGAAATGGACATGTAATAGTTGTTCCGCAATGTATTTAAATTTTCTTTAACATGCTTAATTTTTGGTACTGAGTCACCCTGATCACTCAACATAAGTATCACCTTGATTATGAGTTTTACAAGTCTGTGCAGACATGATAATATGGAGTCTCCACAACTCTGCTTAATGTTCTTATTCTCAAACTAAATGAAGCCATATTCCTGCCTATTGCTCTGTGTTTTTATGTTCTTAGTTTCTTATCATATTTCCATTTTGTTGGATAAATATTGTAAGAATATGCAAAGTGAATGCCGTTTTCTATTTCAGAGTGGCATTCTTGCTTCATTTGCCACAAGAGCTCAAAATTCCATTGCTTTTGCTGTCCAAAAGCTGTGTGCCAATGCTGCATCGCTGCTGCTGAGTTTGCACGTGTTAGAAGGAACAAAGGATTCTGCAGTCACTGCTTAAAACTTGCACTTCTTCGAGAAGAGAACATGGATGTTGACTCTGATGGGGTATAATACTATCTAAGAAGACCTGCAAATTACATTCTCAAAATTCTGTCACTTATCCTTTGCATTGCAAAATGATTTCTTTCTTGGTTAGTAAGTTCTTTTATTTGGTGTGGGATCATCTCTTTTTTTGAACATAGAAACCCCTTGATAGAAATCTCTACAACTTATTATATTTCAAAAGGTAGCTACTATGTAGCACGGACACGGACACGGACACGACACGGACACGTAAAAACGCAAATTTTTAAAAAATAGGGGACACGACACGCTGGGGACACGTTTAATATATATAATTTTTTATATATATTATATGTAAAATTAAAAAATATATACTATTTTTATTCATTTATTTTATTTATTATATGTAAAATTAAAAAATAAATATATTATTTGTATTTATTTATATTATTTATTTACAAAAAAAAAGGTATAAAAAAGAATAAAAGAATAAAAGAGGGAGTGACGGTAATAAAGGAAGAGGGGAGAAAAAGTGAAGAGTGTCAAACAAAAAAAATGGGAGAGAGGAAGAGGCGAGAACAGAGAGCGAGGAGATGGGAGACGAGAGGAAGAGGACTCGATCAGAGACGACGATCAGAGAGCGAGAGGCAAGAACAGAGAGAGAGGAGATGAAGACGATGAGAGACGAACACAGAGAGAGAGGAGACGAACAGAGACGCGAAAGAAATACCTCGATTAGAGACGAAGAGGCCTCAATCTAGGCTTCAATAGGTTCTTCCTCTTTCTCTCTTTCTCTTTCTCTCTCTCTCTCTCTCTCTCTCTATCTTCAATGGGTTAGGGTTTCTCTGTCTCCTGGTTAGGGTTTATTTCTGTTTCCAACGTGTCCTCGACGTGTCAAGCGTGTCTGAAATAGTGTCCGCCTGCAAAAATTCAAAAAAAAAACAGGGACGCGTTAGGTCGAGTGTCGGACACGTGTCTACTGCGTGTCCGACGCGTGTCCATGTCCGACACCCATACGTTGCCTCCAGAGACGTGTCTGTGCTTCATAGGGTAGCTACTTATACATATTATATAACTCTATTTAGCATAATAAATACATTATCAACTTTTAGTCCTGGTTACAATGATAGGAATGAAATTTTTTTTGATCGGCGAAAGTCAGTTGTTAGTAGTTAGATTAGCACCTATGAGGGCTAGCCTCCCCACCTTTGCAAAGTACTAAGTGCTTGCCTCCTAATTCATCTCCCATTGGGGAGCTTGAGACTAAACCCTTACGAGAGTCATGGTGGCCAACTAGGCTAGGCCTAGTTGGTTGTTAGGAATGAAATTACATTAATGAGATTCATAGTCTTAGTTTCTTCTATTCATTGGGCAGCGTGCTTTTTTCTTTATATTTTTTTAAATGTAGGTACAACATATGAAAGGAGTTTTTTTTATTTGAAGTGTTTAGGTTGCTCAACATAACAACCTAAATTTTGCTCTAGTAAACATTAAAAGAACGTCAATGATATAAATTGTCTAATACAAAATAATATTTATTAGGGCTACCAAATAATCCTATTATGGTTGATAAAAAAAAGTCTTACTATAATTCAAGTCGAACATAATTTTTTCTTGATTAAGATTCATTCATGAAATTTAAATTTATTGCTTCATATTCAAATTTAGTCTTAATATAGAGGATATTTTGGTATATTTCATTTGTATGTAATATGTATATGTATATGTAATATTAGAAAGATGTTATATTTTGGATTTGGTTCCAAATTAAGATTTTAGACTTTCATTATCTTTTATTGAATGAGATTTTGGAGAAACCCAATTCACACCAAATCCAATCTATTTATTAGCTCAATTTTTTACCTAAATACTTCTCCTTGAAATATGTTGATGATTTGGTTGAATTGTTCCTAAAGCTTAAGTTGTTAGGAAACGAGCCTAACAATGTATGTCAAACTACCACTCCCCCTCACATGTGACTTTATTTCGCACATGGAGTAACAAACAGATTGAGAGAACAAGGTGTACAAGTAGAATTGAGTGCACAACTATGTTACATGGACTCCTATATTTCCCGTAAAGTACTCGTGTCCACCGAATATGACAAGAATAAGGGTGTGAAATATGTGTCTGACACCCATACCCAATTTGGATCCTTGAATCCTACTTTTTACATTGTTTGTAGAATAAGAAATCACATTTGCTAAAAAAAATACATTTATCAACATAGATAAGAGACTAAAATTTCACATTTTTTGTAAATCTTATTAATTTTAAGGATTGTTGTGTTATCTATATTACAATTACAAGGATTCCTATTATATAGGAGTGTGTTTGGGAGTAGGTGGAGAGTAGGTGAAGTGGAGGTGGTAGTGGTGTAGTGGGTTAGGTTTAGTGGAGTAGGTGAGGTGGTAGTGGTGTAGTGGGTTAGGTTTAGTTTTCACATTTTTTGTAAATCTTATTAATTTTAAGTACATTTCTACACATTTTATCTAATAATATTATATAATATGTAATATATATGTCTGTCCATAACAAGTTCCGTACTTATATCCTATTTTGGATACATGTCTCAATATCCTAAGATTTAAATTTATAAAGGTCTAACATTTGGACATGCACCCGTACTCGATACTTGTACCCAAGTCCATGTGACGTAGATGCACAATGACAAAAATAATGAGAGTGACAAAACTTGAACTCAAGACCTCTTGGAATTAGAGCTTTGATTCTATTTTGAATTGTCTCCAAAGCACAAGCTATTAGGAAATGACCCATGTATACCAAGCTAACAGATTTATTTTTAATCACACTTTATTTATGAAACGATGTAATTATTTTTGTGCCAATTATCACTATTGTGCTGAAGCATTTGACAAAGCAAATATGGTTGGGTCAAGTGCAAGTACAATTGAACCCAATCATATTTAATGTAATGTTAAGTTATTCTCACTCTTGACCTAACAATATTTGCTATGGCAATAGGGCCATCCTTGTAATTATCAGATAATATTCATGTAATATGTATTTAAGATTTTATAAAATTTGATTTTTACATTTATGGACTTAAAAGGATAGTCAGAAAATATTCTCATGGTAATGTGCATTAGCACGATGATGCCAATTTTGGTTTTAGCTAACAATTTGTTACTACTAGTATTTTTCTTTTACTTATTTTGTAGAATTGATGAAAGGATGAACTAATAATGAAAGAGCAAAAAGATAGATAATGTTATAAGAAAATAGGAGACAATGAGCATTAGGGTTATCTCCCTTAATCCCTTATATTATACTTGTATATAGGAGATTACAAAACTACCCTCTTAACTAACACATAACCAACACTCTCCCTTATGTTAGGGCAAAGATATTGTGAATGAGCAACAGACTAAAACTAAGTAGAAGTTAAGAACAAAATATAACAATATACTAGATGATGCGGACGTGTGTGCACCATGGAGGTTTTGTAACTTTCTTTAGTATTTATTATTTAATTTGTTTTAGTAGTTATTTCAATTAAGAGATTTAGTTTGGTTAGGATTTATTTGTTTTCATATTCTAATTAAGATTCGTTTTCCTTTTTTAAATGGTGTTTTTAGCGTATATAAGTATTAGGTTTGAATTTTATTCTTCAGCTTTGATTAATGAGAATTTTAGTATTTTAGGCTATGGCCAATGTGTTAGGGCTGTGGCCTTCTTTTTCTTCTCCTCTCTTCTTCTCTTTTCGCTTTTTTTCTTAAGGCGTTCTGCATCACTAGACCTTAGTTGCACGAAGCGGGAGCGAGGGCGGAAGCGTTTATTTATCTTATACATAAATATATTTATATTATAAGAATTTTTTATGTGTTTTTTAATATATATCTTGAAAGATGGACAATATTGAGCTTTTAATAAATATTAGTATTAAACTTTTTAAGAGGGTGTGACTATTTATCTTGTTTGTTATAACTTATAAGTATATACTCTCTCCATCTCCAAGGTATATCTTTTTGATAAGAGGTTGAATCGATCACCCATTCTGTTTGTCGATCTTTCCATTTTAGAATGTCCCAAAATGTTATTTTATTTAAAACATCAAAGGAAAAAGTGTTTAATTTTCTAAAACTATCTCTCATAAAGTGGCAATAACTATATTAAAAGTTGAAAACAAAAGGGTAATTATTGGAACAAATGCTTTAAAATTTGAATTCAAATGTGATAATTGGATGTACCCTAAAAAAGTTGGAACTCCCACAAAGGACTAACAAAATGGGACGGAGGGAGTATATTATTGTAGGTAATTGATATGTAAATAACAAATCAGACAATAAATACGTTATTTAAATGTTAAAAAAGAAACTAACTCATTAATGGAAAGAAGCCAAAAGCACATATACGGACATGTAATACGCATGGATAAGACATGGACAAGCCGACACGTAAATTTTCAGAAAATGTTGGACATGGGCAAAATTTATAAATTTATATATTTATTATATGCCATATATAAGAATAACTAATTATTATATATCACGTATGTGAATATTTAAGTTAAAGATAAAATTTTTTAAAGTCTAAAGAAATAGAATATGTATAAAATTACATTTTTTTTCGTTTTATCATTGGGTTTCAAATTATTTTATTTAAACTTGTAGTGCATTTCATGTGTGTCAAAGTGTTACAAAGTGTCCGACGAGTGTCACGTCGGTGTTGGACAGTTACCTTCTTAGAAGTGTCCATGCTTATTAAAGAGAGAGTAACTCGTTAAATGAAAAATAGTGAGAGAGTGGATTTTTGCCTATATAAAAGATGTAGCCAATAAATACACATTTAATGTCAATTACAAAAGAGTCAAAATAGACTTTTCGAGAAAAATATAAATCTCATTAAATGAGAAGCATCTTTCTACAACAAATAGGTTTTTGCCATAAGAAAGTTTATCAGCCCTGCAGACCAAATCTTCTACAAATTCTAGAGTTCCACTTCGCCTCTTATGCATATAAAAGTCTTCATTCCTTTCATTTCCTTTCTTGATTTCCATCCGAAAGATTGAAGAAGAGAGG